AAACTTTTGCCAGGGTCTGTGACAAAAAAATGGCATATATATATATATATATATATATATATATATATATATATATATATATATATATATATATATATATATATATATATATATATATATATATGCAAGCAAATCACTGTGGTGCGCGATCTAGATATGCTGAGAAAGAGAGAGAGAGAGAGAGAGAGAGAGAGAGAGAGAGAGAGAGAGAGTTTATAATATAAATAAAGTATCATCTTTCATTCTCAACCAAGAAAGTAATTAATTTTATTTCACGGTCTGCTGCACGTCACGTTACATGGTGGAAAATAAGACTTGTGGATTCTGTCAACGTTTAGTCAGCTCAACACCCGCCCTTCTTTACTTGACTGAATATGTTTTTCTCCCATGAAAATAACTGACTCTTGGCTGCCATTTCATCTACATACTGTAGGTTATCAAAACAGTATACGTAGAATTTTAAAAACATCAAATTTTATCTCGAGTATTGTAGAAGTTGTCTGAAAAATATTGCTGCAGACTCTGACAAAACATTTTATGTTTGCTAATTAGTGTTTGTTAGTGTTGTGATATTTGCTGATTAGTAGTTAATGGTAATTAATGTGTTACACTATATAGTGCGGCGGCTGAGTGGAAACTAAACTGGTCTCCTGTTCCAAGGGTCTCTTCTACTATCCTGGGGTACTCCCAGTCCATCTGTATATAAACGGGTGCTACCTAACTTTACAGTTAAGAAAGAGAAGGTGGTCGAGTGCAATACCGACCCCGACACTAGACAACACCGCACGAAGGACAAAAATAAATAAACATCTGGAAATAAAATTAATCTCTTAGACGCTTCTGTTTATCTATGGATTTTGTAGAAAGATAAATGAAGTAAATAGATGTTAGTTTTAACACATATCTACCCACATTTGTATTCGTATCTTAACTGAATCTCAAAGATTCTTCTATGATTGTACTGGTGTGACTAAGGTGCGCTTGAAGGAACTTCCATCTCGTGCAAAACACAATATCAGCTAGGTAAAGAAAGGCGGCCACTACACTGACTAATACAGCAAAATACCCTTAGGTGGATCATACTTCATATCTCTCCTTCTAACCTGAGAGTGTGGAAAGTCAGCTGCCTGGGTTATGTAACACACGTCTAATTTAAAGTTTATTCCCATTATTCTTTCTCTCGAAGGCAATCTAACGTAAACCGTAAACCTGTCATGTGACTTAATTGTAACTCATATGGGATTACTTATATTTTTACAGATCTATGGTCAAGTATATGATAGTATGTATCCATCTATATAGTATATCTGTCAGAGATGTAGTTCAGGATTGTGTAGATCAGCTCTGTACTTTTGAGTCGGTGAGCGATCACAATGTCACGAACATTTTTAAGCCTAAAATATATAAAGGGAAAGTTACTTAAACAATTTCCATAATTATTTTTGCCCAATAGAAGGCTATGAAACAAATAAAATTTCTATTTAATCTTAAATTATTACGTATATCGCAGTAATTGTTGGTTTAGTAAAGTGATTCTTCAAGATTTCAGAGTTCAGATCTGTATAAATATCCACTAGTTCTTTTTAACATACTAAAAGGAGAACTCAACTTCATGAAACCAAAGAAAAGATAAAAACTGTAAAAAAAAAATATTTACAAACACGTGTTTATATTAGAATTGCAGCGGGCCTATTGGCCCATACTGGGCAGTCCCGTTTACACCCAACCCCTATCGCTCATATATCTATTCAACCTATGTTTGAAGCTAAACAGCGTATTCGAGTTAATGATGATAGCGAATTCGAAAATATTATTCGAATTCAATCACTCAAGTAAATTAACGTCACTTGAGGATTAGAGTTCAAAATAAAGTTTACTTTGGGCAGATAATTGACTATAAAAATAAAAGGAATTATATTAGAAACACACACACACACACACACACGCACACACACACACACACACACACACACACACACACACACACACACAAGGTTCTGTTCTTTCACCTACTCTCTTCCTTCTTTTTATCAATGATTTACTTCTCACTACGACTAATTCTATCCATTCTTACGCTGATGTTTCTACTCTTCACTCTTTTTCGCATTTTTCCTTCCCCCTAATTCTCAAACTAGATCTGTTTCTAGAGCTGATATTGTTTCATCTAACCAACGTGGACCTGTGCAGCATCTCCGAATGGGGAGGTAGAAATTTTGTTAAATTCAATAGTAATAAAACACAGTATTTACCAATTACACTTTCCAAAATAGAAGATCTCCCACCAATCACATTTTAGGACGCAATCATTCTGCCACATTCTAAAATATAATATTCGGCCTCATCATTTCCTCCAATATGTCATGAAAGCTACACATCCACAACATTGCTAACGCTGCCTCCCGAAATGCTGTGCAGATCCTGTAGCTACTTCACTTCTGAGGAGTTGCTTCAAGTTTATAAGGAATTCATTCATCCTAACTTGGAGTCTTACTCTCATGTCTGGGGTGACATTTCGTCTTTTTATTAACTCTCCTCCTTTAGTTGATAATCTCTCTTCCCTTTCTCTTCACCACGATGTTGCTAGTGCTCTCTCTTTTACAGGTACTTTAACGGGCAATGTTCGGTGGATTTGGCATCCTGTGTACCGCCGGCAAGGCAGAGGGCTCGTACCACTCGTCTTGCCCGCGGTGCCCACCGTTTGTCTGTGGATGTCGGTCACACGAGAATAACCCGTTATAGTACCTCCTTCTTTCCTCACACAGCCAAACTGTGGAATGCTCTGCCTTCTTCTGTGTTTCCAAACTTATACAATCTGTCTCACTATAAAAATGGTTTTCCGGCATCTTCGTGGTATAGATTAATATAGTATAACCTTTTTGTTCTCTATTTGTAATTTCTTTCTGTTCTTTTTTTTTCGCTCCCCAGGCCCCGTTGTGGGTCGTTTGACCTGTGCCCGGGAGAGCTAATTCCCGTAAAAAATAAAAATAAAATACAGCCCTTGATATGGAGTACCGGTAATAATGTTGTCTCCTTCCTGGCCCTCAGACGACCAATACTAGAATATGGCCCGCGGGAGGGTTTGAGTTTGACACCAGTGATCTAGAGGTACAGTAGGCAGGCCCAGGATAAAAGAGCATGTAACAAGTGTGGTGATGAGTAGAAAAATGCATATAGTCAGTAAGCATTTGTAACGTACTTTAAAAACCCTGCCAACTTTTCTTTCCCCGTGGGTTTTCTTCAGGAATATGTCACTTAATGAAATAAAACTTGTTGCCACCCTTGCATTTGCCCCGAAAATTGCTAAATGTAGAGATACATTTTACAAAGTAATTCAGTATTGGATCATTATGCCACAATATACAATATAATACATGCTAACGTATGAAATAATATGAATACATGATTTACAGTCAGGGGCGGATTAAGATTTTGGGGAGCCCGGGGCACTTATGATTGAGGGGCCCTTGTGGTCTTGTCTGTTAATGTTATTTCATGGTTCTCAAAAGAAATAATATGAATTTTTCTTTCTTGTTCTCCACCAGAGGGTTCATTTGAGTAGGGGGGCCCGGGGCAAGTGTTCCCTGGGCCCCCTTTAATCCAGCTCTGTTTACAGTCCAGTTTAACTTTTAAGACATTAAAATTTTTACAGAAATGCAGCCAAAAGAGTGTATGAAAAATATCGCCATATCGGTCATAACTGTTGTTTAAGCTGTCCACCATGCCTATAAACCCTTTGAGAAAACTGTTGAACATTAGACTTGTCTGGGGGTTTTCTTAACCATGTTCACTAAGCACATCACATCAATGATGATCACTGACGGGGCATCATGCTCAGAGTTCATCGTTCTGGTTGGTTCTAGCTGAGAGGGAGTATCATCTTTACAATCTATTATTGTGGAAGGTTTCAGCAGTGATGAAGCATCGTCGTTGAAGTTCGTTGGTGTGGTTAGTTCACATAGTGAAGGAACATCATTTTGACATTCCACAGTAGTTGTATGTTCAAGCAGTGAAGGAGCATCTACTTCAGGGTTTATTACTATTGTTTGTCCAGGCATGGAAGGAGGATCAGCTTCAGAGTTCGTCATTTGAGCTGTCTCCATCAGTTAGGCAATCAACTAGCAGCATTTGCGTCTTGAATGCATACTAACACATAACTTTTGACCTTAGGCGAAAATCAAGACCATACGTACTAAGATATAAGCTCCCTTTGGAGCTGAAAAAATATTGAAAATGGCCTGTTGGATAAGCAAGTGTGAAAATTCTACACTCGATATCATTTTATGCTCCCAAGTAAGTGCTTCTGTAAAAAATAAATCCAATTTCGTCGCCTACATTTACTATTTTTCGTTCCCCGATGACCGCATTTTATACCGTAATGTGTAATTTGACAGCTCTAAAATATAGCCCTAAAGCCAAACAGAATTTTGGCAACAAGTTTTATTTGATCTATCGGCATGTTAACAACTAGAAAATAATAAACAACCAAAGTTGGTACACAGTTTAAAGTACTAGGTCCCAAAAGTTTACATGTGCCGCCCGACTAATTTGTGTGATGTTGGTTGTTATTGGTCAAGCTTTTCAATAATTTTCAGCTAAAATACAGTATTAATATTTTCATATGACATTCCATTTAACCTTTTCCTGACTTAAATTCAGCAATAATTACTAAAGAAAATGGGAATATACAAGAGGTGACCGACAACTGATGTTTACAGCAGCGTGTTTAAATGCCAACTCACACTTCCTGTGAGACAGTGAGTGCCAGCGCGGCGCTGCGGCTGTAATTTTCGCGCGAATTCAGTTCGGTTCGAATCCGCATGATATAATTCGAACTTACACGAGTATTTCGAAATAGAGATAACGTGTTCTAACTTTGGGATTCGTTCGAATTAAGCTAAGGACGTAACAGCCGAGTTCGAAATAACGTGGTTCTACTGTAGTTCTATCTAACTTCCTGTGACATTATCAGTGTTTCCCCAGCCTCACACAGCCAGTCTCCCAGAGAGGGTACAGTGGCTGGATGTGTCAGTGTTCGTTACTTGGTAGATCAACAGTTGTCACTGTACCTCGTGATTATTACTTATATAGAAATATAAAATAACAGTTAATTATCAACACGTCATGAGACCCAAGTGACACGTATCTTAATGGTCAAACTTGACCTACGACTATTGTGGTACAGCTTACTGACCCACGACTATTGTGGTACAACTTACTGACCCACGACTATTGTGGTGCAGCTTACTGAACCACGACTATTGTGGTACAACTTACTGACCTACGACTATTGTGGTACAACTTACTGACCTACGACTATTGTGGTACAGCTTACTGACCCACGACTATTGTGGTACAACTTACTGACCTACGACTATTGTGGTAACAACTTACTGACCTACGACTATTGTGGTGCAACCTACTGACCTACGACTATTGTGGTACAACTTACTGACCTACGACTATTGTGGTACAACTTACTGAACCACGACTATTGTGGTACAACTTACTGACCCACGTCTATTGTGGTACAACTTACTGACCTACGACTAACGACTATTGTGGTACAACTTACTGACCCACGACTATTGTGGTACAACTTACTGACCTACGACTATTGTGGTACAACCTACTGATCTACGACTATTATGGTACAACTTACTGACCTACGACTATTGTGGTACAACTTACTGACCTACGACTATTGTGGTACAACTTACTGACCACGACTATTGTGGTACAACTTACAACTGACCTACGTGTGTTGTGGTACAACTTACTGACCCACGACTATTGTGGTACAACTTACTGACCTACGACTATTGTGGTACAACCTACTGACCCACGACTATTGTGGTACAACTTACTGACCTTCTGACTATTGTGGTATAACCTACTGACCTACGACTGTTGTGGTACAACTTACTGACCCACGACTATTGTGGTACAACTTACTGACCCACGACTATTGTGGTACAACTTACTGACCCATGACTATTATGGTACAACCTACTGACCCACGACTATTGTGGTACAACTTACTGACCTACGACTATTATGGTACAACCTACTGACCAACGACTGTTGTGGTACAACTTACTGACCACGACTAATCTGCTACAACTTACTGACCTACGACTGTTGTGGTACAACCTACTGACCCACGACTGTTGTGATACAACTTACTGATCTACGACTATTGTGGTACAACCTACTGACCTCCGAACATTGTAGTACAACCAACTAACGCACGACTGTTGTGGTACAACTTACTGACCCACGACAATTGTGGTACAACTTACTGACCTACGATTGCTGTGGTACAAATTACTGACCTACGACTGTTGTGGTACAACCTACTGACCCACGACTGTTGTGGTACAACTTACTGACCTACGACTATTGTGGTACAACCTACTGACCTACGACTATTGTGGTATAACCTACTGACCTACGACTGTTGTGGTGCAACTTACTGATTCTACGACTATTGTGGTACAACCTACTGACCTACGACTATTATTGTACAACTTACTGACCTACGACTATTTTGGTACAACCTACTGACCTACGACTATTGTGGTACAACTTATTGACGTACGACTATTGTGGTACAACCTACTGACCTATGACTATTGTGGTACAACTTACTGACCTACGACTATTTTGGTACAACCTACTGACCTACGACTATTGTGGTACAACCTATTGACCTACGACTATTAAGGTACAACCTACTGACCTACGACTGTTGTGGTGCAACTTACTGACCTACGACTATTGTGGTACAACCTACTGACCTACGACTGTTGTGGTACAACTTACTGACCCACGACTATTGTGGTACAACTTACTGACCTACGACTATTGCGGTACAACCTACTGACCTACGACTATTGCGGTACAACTTACTGACCCACGACTATTTTGGTACAACTTACTGACCTACGACTATTGTGGTACATATTACTGACCTACGACTATTGTGGTACAACCTACTGACCACGACTATTGTGGTACAACTTACTTACCTACGTGTGTTGTCGTACAACTTACTGACCCACGACTATTGTGGTACAACTTACTGACCTACGACTATTGTGGTACAACCTACTGACCCACGACTATTGTGGTACAACTTACTGACCTTCGACTATTGGGGTACAACCTACTGACCTACGACTGTTGTGGTACAACTTGCTGACCCACGACTATTGTGGTACAACTTACTGACCCACGACTATTGTGGTACAACTTACTGACCCACGACTATTGTGGTACAACTTACTGACCTACGACTATTGTGGTACAACCGACTGACCCACGACTGTTGTGGTACAACTTACTGACCACGACTAATCTGGTACAACTTACTGACCTACGACTGTTGTGGTACAACCTACTGACCCACGACTGTTGTGGTACAACTTACTGACCTACGACTATTGTGGTACAACCTACTGACCTCCGAACATTGTAGTACAACCAACTAACGCACGACTGTTGTGGCACAACTTACTGACCCACGACAATTGTGGTACAACTTACTGACCTACGACTGCTGTCGTACAAATTACTGACCTACGACTATTGTGGTACAACTTACTGACCCACGACTATTGTGGTACAACTTACTGACCTACGACTATTGTGGTACAACCTACTGACCTACGACTATTGTGGTACAACCTACTGACCTACGACTATTGTGGTATAACTTATTGACGTACGACTATTGTGGTACAACCTACTGACCTACGACTATTATGGTACAACTTACTGACCTACGACTATTTTGGTACAACCTACTGACCTACGACTATTGTGGTACAACCTATTGACCTACGACTATTAAGGTACAACCTACTGACCTACGACTGTTGTGGTACAACTTACTGACCTACGACTATTGTGGTACAACCTACTGACCTACGACTGTTGTGGTACAACTAACTGACCTACTACTATTGTGGTACAACCTACTGACCTACGTGTGTTGTGGTACAACTTACTGACCCACGACTATTGTGGTACAACTTACTGACTTACGACTATTGTGGTACGACCTACTGACCACGACTATTGTGGTACAACTTACTGACCTACGTGTGGTGTGGTAAAACTTACTGACCCACGACTATTGTGGTACAACCTACTTACCTACCACTATTGCGGTACAACTTACTGACCCACGACTATTGTGGTACAACTTACTAACCTACGACTGTTGTTGTACAACTTACTGACCTACGACTGTTGTGGTACAACTTACTGACCTACGACTATTGTGGTACAACTTACTGACCTACGACTATTGTGGTACAACCTATTGACCTACGAACATTGTAGTACAACCTACTGACCCACGACTGTTGTCGTACAACTTACTGACCCACGACTATTGTTGTACAACTTACTGACCCACGACTATTGTGGTACAACTTACTGACCTACGACTATTGTGGTACAACCTACTGACCTACGACTGTTGTGGTACAACTTACTGACCCACGACTATTGTGGTACAACTTACTGACCCACGACTATTGTGGTACAACTTACTAGCCTACGACTATTGTGGTACAACCTACTGACCCACGACTGTTGTGGTACAACTTACTGACCACGAGTAATCTGGTACAACTTACTGACCTACGACTGTTGTGGTACAACTTACTGATCTACGACTATTGTGGTACAACCTACTGACCTCCGAACATTGTAGTACAACCAACTAACGCACGACTGTTGTGGTACAACTTACTGACCTACGACAATTGTGGTACAACCTACTGACCTACGACTATTGTGGTACAACCTACTGACCTACGACTGTTGTGGTGCAACTTACTGACCTACGACTATTGTGGTACAACCTACTGACCTACGACTATTATGGTACAACTTACTGAACTACGACTATTTTGGTACAACCTACTGACCTACGACTATTGTGGTACAACTTATTGACGTACGACTATTGTGGTACAACCTACTGACCTACGACTATTATGGTACAACTTTCTGACCTACGACTATTTTGATACAACCTACTGACCTACGACTATTGTGGTACAACCTATTGACCTACGACTATTAAGGTACAACTTACTGACCTACTACTGTTGTGGTGCAACTTAGTGACCTACGACTATTGTGGTACAACCTACTGACCTACAACTGTTGTGGTGCAACTTACTGACCTACGACTATTGTGGTACAACCTTCTGACCTACGTGTGTTGTGGTAAAACTTACTGACCCACGACTATTGTAGTACAACCTACTGACCTAGGACTATTGTGGTACAACCTATTGACCCACGACTATTTTGGTGCAACCTACTGACCTACGACTATTGCAGTACAACTTACTGACCCACGACTATTTTCGTACAACTTACTGACCTACGACTATTGTGGTACAACTTACTGACCCACGACTGTTGTGGTACAATTTACTTACCCACGACTTTTGTGGTACAACTTACTGACCTACGACTATTGCGGTACAACTTACTGACCTACGTCTATTGTGGTACAACTTACTGACCTACGTGTGTTGCGGTACAACTTACTGATCCACGACTGTTGTCGTACAACTTACTGACCTACGACTATTGTGGTACAACCTACTGACCTACGACTGTTGTGGTACAACTTACTGACCCACGACTATTGTGGTACAACTTAGTGACCCACGACTATTGTGGTGCAACTTACTGACCTACGACTATTGTGGTACAACCTACTGACCTCCGACTGTTGTGGTACAACTTACTGACCCACGACTATTGTGGTACAACGTACTGACCCACGACTGTTGTGGTACAACTTACTGACCTACGACTATTGTGGTACAACCTACTGACCTCCGAACATTGTAGTACAACCTACTAACGCACGACTGTTGTGGTACAACTTACTGACCCACGACAATTGTGGTACAACTTACTGATCTGCGACTGTTGTGGTACAAATTACTGACCTACGACTATTGTGGTGCAACTTACTGACCCACGACTATTGTGGTACAACTTACTGGCC